AAGATAATCACATAATTCAGTTGCTTTGTACAGAAAGCTTGCTGAAAAGTAGTGTAACCTACACTTTACTTTTCAGTATTTTGCCTTGAAACTTGTCCTCAGGGTATAAAGTATTATAATAGGATCCTTAAAGACTGCCTTTGACTGAAAAACATACATTATAGAAATGTGCAGGTCTTCTGTTAAGAAGAGTCCTATTTTCCATGTTCAATCCTTCCCAATTTGAGCAATAATGTCTTAATAGTTTAAATACAAGAGAAGGAATTAAAGACCAATGTTTGACTATTACTGTTAACATGAAAATTCAGTTTCCTAAAACAGTTTTTCTATTGAGAAAACCAGAATAACAGTTTATCACCGCTTTCACCTTCATAGATTTCAAGCCTCAAACAATGATTATTAGATAATAGGAAAACCTCAGATAAAATAGTACAAAAAAACTGAGATTACCTAGGTCATGAAACTGGAAGATAATACTCAGACTACCGTTCAGAAGGTCCGTCTTTAGGTTTTGCTTAGTCCTTTCTGAGGACTATCAGTGGCTGATCATATCTTTCTGTCTTTAAGCAGCATTCCTGTAACTTTCCTTCATTAAATACATACCTAAAGATATAGACCTAGAAATACACACAATCTCAGAGTTGATTGTTTTGGAGGACATACAAAGAACTTCAGTTTACACTGATACTGATCTCCTACTAGAGCTGCAGGGCTGAGTGACAACAGAAAGTCAAAACCAGGCCTCTTCAGCAGTGAAGGATTACTAAATTTGCTGGCTCTTAATGCACCATAAAATTCAATGTTCTGAAATATTAGCAGAAGCTTGGATGAGAATCAGCCTTTCCACTTTTAGTTGTGTAAAGGATGTGTCTACATGTACTCCAAGGTAGTGGTCTGAGGTGCAAGTTCTTACAACCCTTAAGTTCTCTACAACCCTGTCCTACCTGAGGAGTAACCCTTGAAAATGGTGCCTGGAAACCACCTGTCTTGCCTTCCAGTGGTTATGACTAGTAAGTTCTAAACCAGAAAATTGTCCAAAAAATGGACTGGAATTAAGAAGTTTCTTGTACCCTCTGCTACTTAGTACATACTGTTCTTCAGAATTTGTGTTAAACATCTCCAAAAATATCTCACAAAATAAATGATCCTTCTCTCCCCATAAACGTTCTTTTCTCTAGAAGCTAAAGACACTATTGGTCTGACTTGATGGAGAATGGCAGCTAATCTAAGGTGAGTCAGAGTATAATTCAAAATTGAGCGTTTTTGGACAAATTTGCAAAATAAAACAAAGCCAAAGCCAGCCATTATGGGGATAATACTTGCTCAATTTCACAGCCTAATAAGAAAAAAAAAAAGCACTATAAAATGATAAAGGTTTAATTACCTTCCGTTTGGGAAAAAAAAAAGAGACAGCGAATTTGCACCACACCTTCTTCACAGAGTTTATGATCTACTTACTTGGATTTCATGTTACATCTTCTTTACTTTGGAAATGAAGCTGTTTGTTCATAAACATTGTAGAATACATCACAGAAACGATAGATCTTTACACAAAGTCACAGACAAAACCACTGGCTGAACAAATACTAAAATTCTTTGTAAATATGTCTAAATATCTCTAAATAGGAGTCACACAATTTTTATTTAAATTAATTTAAAAGTGCAAACAGGGGAAAATAAGCTATTCTGGCCAGAAAACATTTCTTTTCACTTTTTTTTAATATTTTTGGTGGGTTTTTTTCCCTGTCTCTTGAATGATATTGCAAGCTAAAAAACATTATGTTAATAACAACTGAAAAATCTAAATGTATACCAACTTCTCTTTAAAAAGTTGTTATAAACCAATCTTTTTATCACTATGTGTTTTGTAATAGGAAATATTCCCTTTGAGAATGGGATACAAGTTTATCCATAGGGCTGCACACAACTAAAGGATGGCTCATATTTAGGGAGAAATACCTGCCATCAACCAATTTACTTAGCAAAAATGTGGGCTTTTAACCCTCAAAGTCTTAAGCTATCTTCACTGGTTTTAAACAAATGTGAAATAACTCTGTATAATGTCATTTTGATGTAATACCCATTGTGTTTCAACATATTGTTTCAGGCTCAGCAACAGTAATACCATTCGCTTAAGTTCAAGTGAGTGAAAAATGAGGGCTACATTCAGGTGTCTGCAAAAGCCCATGTAGACAGACTCAACACAGTTTCTCAATCCTTGTCTCCCTTGTTAGGTTGACTGGTAGAGAGACTGCATGTTTTTCCCATATGAAGAAAAAAAGCTCTGTATTTTCTTGCAGGTAAAAAAAATGTCTCCCTGTCAATTAATTGAAAAAATACATTGCTCATATTGAGTGAACTTTTATTCTTTGTCAGAAAAACATACAGTGAAGCTCTCTAACAAGGCAGTTTGGTAAGAATAAATGAGACTATACTTGAATGGGATTTGCAAGATCACCTTTATTCCACAAGTACAAAAGGTGAAAACTCCAATATTCTCATTATTCCTGTCAATTCATGTTTTGTCTCCATACTAAAATTTTGAAGAAGCCACCAACCTTCTCTTGAAAAGATATGACCCAAACAGACATTCACATAAGAAAGTACCACTAGGCCAATCGCAGGATTATCACTGGCAAGTTTAATTTTCTCACGCAGCCGGAAAAGGCAGTAATTGTTTCAAGAAATTACAGGATTGAAGAAACATTAGTCCTAGTAAATGCTCTGAGGGTTTTGGAGTTCCTAGATACCATAAATAAATAAGCAACTTTGTAGCAGTAAGGTTTGATTAGCATTAAACATATTTAAGGGTAAAGGGCTAGAACCTCACTGCCTTCTGCTTATTAGATTGGTTGTGAATTTTACTCTGCTTGTTAATTTAATTTTATTTTTCATAAAATTATATTTTAAAAACCACATCAATCATGTTAAGTACATTATTGTTTAAAAGCTTAACTGTAAGTTATTTGATCCAGAGACTGGTTACAATAACACCAGATTAATTATTTGTGACTTTGCTTTGCATTCACTATAAGGCAACATTTTACTTTAGAGTGAACTGCCTAGGAGACTGTCTAACTTGAGCTTACATTACTTATACAGCACTGTAAAAGATAACTTACAAGACACTCCACTAATCAAAATATTTCTTTTCTGGTCACAATTTATCTAATTAAAATATTTTCACTGATATTTTTTAATATTTCTTGTTCACAGATATTATTTTTATTTAATTTCTCATTTCTGTACTGTTCTAAGTCTTGAATGAGGTTGTGGCATCTCCATCCGGAGGTGTTCAAGGCCAGGCTAGATGAGGCTCTGAGAAACTTGTTCTAGTGGAAATTGTCCCTGCCCAGGACAGAAGGGTTGGAACCAGATGATCTTTAAGATGCCTTCCAGCCCAAACTATTCTATGTGTCTGTGATTCTATGAGTTTGTCTTCTCACACAGGTAACCTATTACACTGTAATTTTAGAAATTCCCTATGAGATGAGATAATCTTACCTGGTAACTATTTTTTCTTCTTTTTTTTTCTTTCTTTTTTTTAAATAAGACCTACCAAGAGAACAGAGCAAAAACCTACCTTTCAAGAGCAACTTTACTTTAAGGATGCAAACTATTTTGGGTCTGGCTGAAAAGGAGTTAATCTTCTTCACAGCAGCCCATACAGTGTTTTGCATGTGTGACTGAAATGGTGTTGACAGCAGAACAGCATTCTATTTGTGACTGAACAGTGCTTGCATGACATCAGTGTCTCACTTTGCTCTACCTGAGAGTAGGCTGTGGGTGGGCAAAAAGTTGAGAGAGCAGCTGACTCATAGTGGGTAACTTCATGAACGATAAAAACCAGAATAAGAGAACATAACCTTCAAAACAGGTGTATAACAATTTGTAAACCAATGGAACTGTTTATAAAAATAAAGTAAAAATTTATAGTATTTAAATTAAATTACTACAAATTTATTATTTGAGTTTGGTATCTGGGATGTAGAGTAAGCTAAATATTTTGAATAAAGGAATTATGATTGCATAATTCCATTATTTTTAAAGGAATTTACCTACAATTTAAAACTGGTGAGTTTTTATCCTAATTCATCTCATTTATTGTTTCAGTTCTTCATGTTTTCTCATGGCACTGATTTCAAAAAGACACTTTTTCTGCCTTCAGGTTCTGTTCATTCATGGACATTTCTGTTATCACAGGCCTATAAGCACCAACTTCAATTTGTTTTCCTTGCAATTGAAATATTGATTTATTATCTAGCTTGTTTTTAAAATAGTATCAATTTACACATGAGCTGAATACCATTCTTGCACATAGATTCTTTGGGTATATATGAATTCACTGATTTTTGGGTTTAGTTAGGAGAAGACAGAGGAATTCTGTACATGTAATGCAAATGAAGGCACTTAATTGAACAGTCATTTGGGGTTATATGCATGTAAATAGGGATGAATGGGATTCATTAAATACTTATAGAAGGTAATTCATTGATTAATGTACTTTTAATTCTTTACAGGATCAGCTGGGGTAGTGGAACTACTGTTAAAGGTGTCAATTTATGTTCAGCTACATCATTTGCACTAATTTCAGAGACTAAAAAAACAATGACACCATAGTAAGCTATGTCCTCATGTCCTCTTTATAACATTTGAAAAGATTTACTAATCTGAAATAATAATTCATTCCATTAAAAATAAAATAATTATAGGTGATATGAGCTCCCTCAATAAAGCTTCTCTTTCATTACTAACTTAGACTAAATGTCTGAAGTCTTATGTTAGTGAAAATTAAACCCCCCTAAAGTTATCTCTTCAGTTTCAGAACACACAGTTTTGGTATCTCAGTAGCTCAACACATGTTTTAAGAAGTGAAATGTCAGACTAAATCAAGTTTAAACGTAAAAAATGTAGAATTTATAAATTGTTATTTCAAAGTTTTTATGGCTGTACCAGCCATAGTAATGACTATAATTAGGAACACACTACGAAATTCTTACCTCCTTCATCCACCAGGTAGAAAACAGCCAGACATCTCAACTGAAGTAGTCCATTGGCTCAAATCGGAGTATTCAGATGTTTTAAGGCAAGCACTTGTGCAAGTGCTTTGCTGGATCATTGTCGAAGCATTCTCTAGGTTTCCTGATGGCTTCTTTATCCTTGTCCCAGCCTTGCTGAAAGGACTTTTAGGTTTGGGTAAAAAAAGATCACATTTAATTTCTCCTCACCAAAACCAAATTCTGCATCTTCTCAGACTATTTCACTTGAAGCATCTGTTCATCTTTCTTACCATTGACTGTCCCTTTTTATCCTTCATTTACAATAGTGCTAGAAAGGCATTTTCTTTTTCTTAAGAAATACAGAGACATAGTAATAATACTTGTAAAGTACCTGCTATAACAGTCTTTGAAATCAGTGGGAATTTCTCCATTGATTTCAACAAGTTTTGAACTGAATTATAAAACATTAAATTTAGGGAAGAGCAATTAAAGAGTTCTCTCATCAATAGCAAAACATTCACAATGTCTGTGTATTAATTCTACTGAAAACAATGGCAAAATAACTGTTTTCTTGTCTAAAATAAATTATTCCTAGCCTCTGTCATATAAACAATTCCAATAATCAGCAAGTACATATACAAATGTATAAAATGCAGAAATTGTGTGTAGTGACTAAAAATTAAATTATAATTTAACAGATGTAATGAGATATAAGTATTAATAACCTCATTTAAAAGTCTGATGAATACAAAAGCTCTCACATTATAATTACTCTCAGAAAGAAAAGAAGTCTTGTTAATCTGGTGAGCAGCTGATGACACATAAAATTATAAATAATAGAAACATTGCACAAATTAATTCTAGATTAGGATAGAATAGTTTATAGTTAATAATAGAAAGATCATTTTTTAGCAGAGAGTAAGTACGATCATAGAAAAATAGGATGTTTTGGGTTAGAAAGGATGATTCTTCTGGAGACTGTTCTTATTATTAGACTTCTTTGCTTTCCCATGATACACAATTTTTTAAAAAGAACCAATTTTTCTCTTACAACAGGCCTAAATGAAGCTAGATGCTGGCCAGCAGCATCCTACAAATACTGCATCAACTGAATACTAATGAAATGTCTCCTTTCAAAAGTTTTGAGGCTGCCAAAGACTAGTGGGAGACTTTTCAAAATGGAGGGTAACACAAAATACAATTGCTTGGGCAATTTTAGGCAATCAAGTTTGTGATATTCATATTGATTTATTATGTATAATTAGTGACTATTATATTGGTTAAATTAATTCTGAAGATATACAAGTTTTTTATCTGTCTGAGCTACTTCTCATTTGTAGAGGCATAGTGCTGGAATAGAGAACTAAAAAGATGAGGCTACCATTATTTTTCCTATTTGACAAAGAAAATTCATCATACAGATTATGCCACAATATTCTATATTTGCATTTTTAGTTAAGTTTTATTGATATCTGTATCCCCATAATCATCTTCCCATGTCTTTTAGTAACAGACTCATCCTGGCCCATATTGAATATATTTTGCATATAAATTCCAGAAAACATAAAATACAAGTTTATCTTTGCCTTCAATTAGCATCGTTATTTCTGTTTAGTTGACAGATCCTTGAAGATTTAAACTGGGAAAACTGCTTTTATTAATCATGGCAAGAAATGCTAAGACAGCTGATGAGAGAACCCTTCTTTTACTTATTGGCTTTTTGTACAAGTAGTATTGGCAAAGTCATTTCACAAGTTTAATGGATGACACCAGCTTGTAAAATGTATTGGTCAAGGTAGGTCATATAGAGTAGTATTTACAGATATTGAACCAGACAGGTTCAGTAACTAGAGTAGTTAAATAATAATGACAAAAGGCTGCATGTTTACCCTTGCTTTTTATGCCTTCCATAAATATTTGTGTGCCATAGGGAATCTAATGCTATAATGCAGTTAAAAGATCAGACTTTAATCATTCTCTGGTAAAATTTGACATTATGTTGTAATTTTCAAAACCTGTCATCAAAAGCTTAATTTTACCTGATAAAGATGGAAGTTGTGTCATCATGAAGGCTGGAATCATTTGTGTTCAAACAAAAGATGTCAAGTGTCTGTGGCAGTAGCAGAAATTAGGAAAAATGACATAAAATAAAAAGCACTTACAGTATAAGCTTTCAGTTAGCAACCAGCTATTAGAACTGAGTGTCCAATAGTCTGCTTTTGTTCTCAAGATTTGGGTTTTCTAGTGCTGTAATGTTCCTCTAATACAAATCCACTATCATGAAAGAAATACTGAAATTTACACAACATCATGTAAAGTTAAGAGATTATAAGTAAAAGATCCTTTGGCATCTTTTACAGACAGCGCCTTTTACCTTTAACTTGGCTTAGCTATTTGCACTTCCCATTTTGAATTAGGATTTGGTCATTCATCATTGGTGAGAGGCACTGAGTGCCTACTAATCCTGAATAGTTTGCTGTCTCGCCTGTGAGGTTTACCTTTAATCTGTCATTGATTTAAAGTTCACTAATGTCATTCAGTATTTCCACATAGGCAGCAGTAGGAGATGTATATTATTGTTCTTTCCTATGCATTGATCTGCCAAAATCTAGCCAGCTTATTAACATTCTCACAGTACCACAGTGAAGCTACTGAATTCTTTAGAGGGGTATCAGTCTATTGTTTGGGTTTGTATTAGTGCATCTACATGTCTTCCCAAATTTTTATCAGCAAATTCACAGTACATACAGTGCCTTGTGTTTGTCCTTTCTTAACCCGTGCAAACAAACACTCTCTATCACTCGACTTCATAGCCCGACTCTTCTCTGCCATCCTGTCTTCTGCTCTGGTTTCCCAGAAGGACAGAGATGCTCTGGAGGGGGAGTGCACCCATGTAGAGGTACCCGTGATAACTGGGAGTATCACACAGTGATGAACTGGGAGTAGGGTGCCAGAACTAGCAGCTGGTAAGGATCAAAGTGCTTGAGGCATACTACTTTAAGGTAAGAGCCTTTCCCTTGCTATTCCCGACCCGTGAAAATACACTTAGCAAAGCAAGACTTTTTATGCAACTTGGAAGAAAATATGAACATGCAAAAAACCTTTTTTCATTTTTTTTAGTGCTTACAGGAATGCATTTTGAGCACCAGGCAGAAAAACACACCAAAATCTTCAGACAACATTCATTGTGCTGTAGAGTATGTAAACGCAATGACAATTAATGAAATAAAGCTCTGCATTTTATAGAAAATAAAATTGTAATTGTGATAAAAAGGGATGAACAGAATAGTATTATATTAAGATGCTCTTTAAATGCAGAAGTAGTTACTTCACAACAAAATGAAAGGACTCTGCTAACAGGGCTTTCAAACTTAAATAAATCTACTTGTGTTTGTTGTTCTAATTTAGTAGGTCAGTATTCCAAAGAAACCCTGGAGATAAGCAAGCTGGCAGGAAAATGAGGGAAACAGTTGCGGAGAGGGTAGTGAGAAAAGGTTTTGAACCAGAATTACTCTTGGCATTTACAGGTTGTGAGTAATGTTAATAAAAATTACAGCTGCAACAGTGATGACTCTCTGTTATAATACATACTGTCAGGAGCAGCCTCTTCAGTGACCTCTGGTAATATGATTCTTCTGGTGGATGCTTCCGAATCTGCTGATGAAGCAAGTTAGAGCTGCAGAAATGGCAAGCCATCCCTCATTCCCCAAACAGGGATCTGGCACTGAACTGGAGATTCAAAAACTACAGCATATATTGTGCAAAAATAAAGAAAATAAAACCCCCTTTTTCCTACATGAGTGGAATACTTCTATTCTATGGGAGATAAAGGCCATGATAGCACATAACCACAGACTCTTTGTCAAACAGATCAATAGCTATTCTTTTGACTGTGTAAAAATGTATTTTGTCCACAGGAAAACTGCTGAATGAACATAGTGATTGGGGAAAAGTGTTACCTTTTGCATGCTGGAAAAAAACACATTTATTGCGCATATCTTTTGTTATACCTTTTTCAGCTATACCACTCTATATTTCACTTTCAACATACCTGTAAAACTACAATTGCATCTATTGCCTACAAGCATTTGCTAGAGAAATGCAATATATAATTACAACAACAAAAACCTACTTAATCTGCAGTTCTTCTGGAGTTTGGTTTTATAATTTCAATAACACTTTCAAAAGATAAAAAAGCAGCTGCTTACCTTAGCCACTAATCCTGGAGAAAATGGTTTTTTTTTGTCAGAGTAATATACACTAAAAAGTAACTAATCATTAACACTCCACCAGTCTAGTTGCTAGATCTGTAACTACCATTTTCCTGGAGTTTCTGCCTAATAGAAGCTGTATTCATCTTTTCAATTTTTCCTGAAGTACAGCAAAGTAGCTGAGAAGCTGTGTTTATGTGTAAACGAGAGTCAACTCCCTGTTGTGAGCAGGCTGTTTCTTGCCTATTACAATAAAATACCTAAGCATTGTTTAAAAACTTATTTTAATATTGACATTTTTGTACTGGTTCTTTTCCTTCCTCTCTCTTCCACAAAAACAAAACAAAACAAAACAAAACAAAAAACCAACAACAACAACAACAACAAAAAAACCACTTGACTAAAGTATTTTTCATTCTAAGTGATTATGGGAAGTAATGCATGGGGATAATGAGTGCAATGGGTTAAACATTATTTGTATCCCATCTACTTCTTTAATATAGAACTTGTCTCTTTGTACTGCACTGAAACAATTAACAAAAGTATTTTTCTTAAAGCTAAAGAAGCTATCCAGACATAACAATTTTTTTCCCAATATTCTTGGCAAATTTCAATTGGTTTGGTATTTACCTAATGCTAAAATTTTAAATGTTAAAATTAAAAATCACCATGGATTAAACAGAACATTTTAATTCCTTAAAACTGTCCATTAGGTTCAGATTTCAGGAGGCTTTCTCATGTATAATGTGAAACAGTAAAGTAGCAAACCCCACCATCTTGTGATATTTGGTGCATCCATGATTTCTTGAAGTAACCAAAGTGTGCCCTCCAGAGGATGTTTTCCCAAGTTTTATCTCTTGTCATGCTGGAAATCCCAACATTACTTTGGTGGGAGAATATCAAAATTGAGAATATTCAAAAACAATTGACTTGGATGTGCAGAAGGAACTTTTAAAAGATCATGGAACCTTCCTAAATAGTCCTCAGAGATTTAACACAATCAAATTTTTCAATTGTCTGTTTCAAATGCTCTTATTAAGGCATTAAAATGCTGTAGTTCTAGGCTAGAGTTCTAACTAAAGCTGGAAATGAGACCATATATTTAATTGCCAAGTATGGAGTCTCACATGCATAAAGACAAACACCAGTGAAAAAACATATTTCTCAGTCAAAGTACTTAGAATAATTTCAAAGACTTTTATTTTGCTGAAGAGCAAGAGCTTCCAGGTTACTCTTGAATGTAAATATTTTTATTACAATTTGCATTATCAGTCAAACCTATTACTTCAGTGTCAAAGGGCCTCTCTCCCCACAAACAAAAACATTCACACATTCAACTACAGAAGGCACTGTTAGAGCCCAAAATATTTTGTGTTTTCTATAATCTAAATGATGAAGGCACTTGTCAAGAGTTAAAACATAGAATAAGAGTAGTCACATCACAACTCTTCAGAATTTGAAGTCTGTAATCCTTGGAAAAATAATCCCCATGAATTCTGGAAGAAGCTAGATGGGAAGAAGTGAAAGGCAACAGTGCATAGTTAATAAAGCAGGGATGAACAGGTAACTGGGTCAAAATAAAAGCCAAGGTGAGGATCAAGAAAAGTGGTTGGAGAAATTAATTCAGAATTGCAGAAATTTTAAAATTGCAAACATTTTATATATGCATTTATATATGCATTATATTTTTTATTATACATTTCCAAGCCAAATTACTTATATTCTTTTATGTGTTAGAGCTAACAGTCTAAAAGAATACTTAGAAAGATTTCTTCAGATATTTCATTGCTTTCTTTTTGTGACTTCATTCAGGCAAACAACAGCAACAAGGGATTATTCACTAAAATTATTAGTAAGGCAAGCACATTAGGCAATTTTTTTAATACTTCTTTTGGAAAAAAAAAAAAAAAAAAGAGTACTAAGATTATTTCCCTAGTCTGATTCTGGCTAATATTACTATAGTAAATCTTATAACTCTCTGTGTAGATATATGTGCAAAATGGAACTGAACATTTGTATATAATGAGTAGATATTGGACATGCATTCAGTGTTTCTGGATTTGAAAGATCAGTTCTATGCACTGGCATTGAGAATTCCCTTACAGCCTCTGAAATGAGAGGTTTAGCTCCCACACTTGCAATGCAGAGCCAGAGCGTTCCTCCTTTCTGACTGCAGGCATCTGGGCACAAATCCTTCAGTTTCAGGTTAGACTCAAGCTCCCCATATGGGAGCAGTTCTGCTGCTGTTGGGGAACTCTACTCTCCCAGCAAGGTTTTGTGCTTTGCAGTCTCAATCAAAGGCAATAATAAGTACCTGCAAGTTTGAGCTGTGGCCTTTAAGTCCTCACTTTAGCTCCATTACCTGGCACATGCTGTAGGTTGAGATTCTTCATGACATAGTCTCACAACCGAAGCACAAGAGAGAAAACTGTGCACTGGCCATTCGTGTGCATGTACATACATGCAGCACCATCTCAACAAGCAGTGGAAATCAGCATGCTTGTTCCCATTTGAGGAATGCAAAATTTACTCTTTTTTTTTTTTTTTTCAGAATATTAACTGCATTAAAAAATAGTCAGGCACGTTTTCAGAGTTGAAATTTGATAAGTAGCTGAATAAGAACCTTGGTATTTAAACCATCTATATTTGAGTAATTTGCCTTAAACCCTTAGACTGTCTTTGCAGTCAATGGAGAGAAGTTGGCATTTTTGGGGCACACTTTGTCTCATCTTAAAATAGCTGTCTAAAGCAGGTCAGATGAATTGTCCTCTTGCAGTGCCTTTTACTCCCCACTGACTATAAAAAGCATGACTAGCTCAGAGGTATGTCTACACTGTAGACATTTACAGATAGGTAATAAATTCCATGCTATATGATTTATGATGAGCTGATTTGATGGCCAAGGAAGGATGAGTTCCATCTCAATCTTCCCCTGCTCCAAAGCTGGGTTGTTTATAGGGTTTCTCAGTAAGGTGGATACCTCTAGGTCTCTAAGGAATTGAACACATACTGTAGTCTTACATTCTTGACACTTAAACGGACATTCAGGCATTACTTATTCATAGAACTAGTGGACATGTGGTCATCTCTGAAACCATCCCACCCTTTTGAAACACTCTTTGGAGTATTTGGCTGAATTAACTGATAGATTGAAAAGTTATTAGGTGAAGACCAGTAGAGGAATATGCAGCTAGCACTGCTACTTAACTGTCTGAGGGAAACTATGATAAAAATTTCAAACAAAATTGGGGAAAAGGACCTCACCTTGCATTTGTCCTTAAGTAATTAATTGAAAAGAGATATAATAACAGCATAAATAAAAACATTCATCTCTAACTATATATTTTGCTTCTTCATCTCCTTCCTATTCCTTTTACTCAACTAATTCAGTCTTTGTGATAAAAAATACCTCCTACTGATCCCACTGAAAGCAAGCTGGTATTAAATATGAATAAGAGTTTCATTATTCAGCAATATGCTGAATATGCACTGTATATATTTGTCTTATAAACTATAAGATTTCTGTGTTTCAGGGACTGTCTTTTATTTATTCTTACCTTCATAAGTATATAATCTAAAAACTATCATATATATGAGGAAAAGAGTAGTGTTATTTGCACAGAGAATAATAAGATCTAGTTTAAGCAAACGTCTTCTTAAATAAGGAAATATCTTCTTAAGTGATGGTCATATTGAATTTTAATAAGTTATACTTTCCAATTTTGTACTGCAAAACTGAACTTTGATTTGTAACTTTTCAGGTTCCATACATGGCACAAGGATGAATGCTGTTTGAAAATAACTGCTAGGTCAATTTGCTATTATTACACTTGCTTATTTGTTCACAGAGAGAAGTGGGAATTTTTTCCTAACAGTATTACCATACAGGAGAATCCCTTGATATTCTCTAAAAGAGTTTCTCCGGAAGAGTTACATTTAAAAACTATTGAATGCATTGGAAAAAATCTTGCGCTGGATTCAGTTTGCTTTGTTTTTGGCCCTTGTAGGACCCACTAATACTTTAAGGATGAGAGAAAAATAAATTATTCCTGTTTCTTCATGCAATTTTAAAGGATATTTGCCACTTAATTTTTTTTGCTTTAATTCCAATGTTCTATGAGAATGTTAATATGATACCCCATTTCTTTGTGATAGCGTAGTCCATTTTAATATAAACTATTGAAAGAAAGCTATCTTTTTTCAGAAGCAATAATTTCTCATTTCAAGGACTAGAAGTTATTGAGTTAAATTATTTTACTACGATACTCTGACTATAGATTGAAGAGTCAGACTATAGAAAATTCTAGTCCTAAATTCTTTTAGGCAATAATTCTCATTTTAATCCAATTTATTTAGCCTCACACAGCATGGAAATACCATATGATCAGCATTGGTCTTCATAACATCTCTATCTCAAAAATGGAGAGAGATAGATTTGATGGGTAGACTGTTAGATGGATAAGAAGTTTTTTGGACAGTCACATCCAGAGGATAATGGTCAATGGCTCAGAGTCCCGATGGGCATCAGTGACAAGTGGAGTCCCTCAGGGTCTGCATGGGGCCCAGTGTTATTTAATATCTTCATTAATGACATAGACAAAGGGCAGGAGTGCATGCTCGGCAAATTTGGAGATGACACCAAGCTGAGAGGTGCAAGGACGGGATGCCATCCAGAGGGACCTGGACAAGCTCAAGAAGGAAGCTGAGGAAATGCCATGAGTTTTAACAGGACCAAGGGCAAGGTGCTGCTGCTGGGTCAGGGCAACCCCTGTATCATCCCAGGCTGGAGAGGAACAGATCCAGAGCAGCCCTGCCAAGAAGGCCTTAAGGTGCATGAGAGGCTGCCCATGAGCAGGCAAAGTGCCCTCCCAGCCCAGAAAGCCAATTGTATCCTGGGCTGCATCAAGAGCAGCGTGGCCAGCTGGTCAAGGGAGGGGATTCTGCCCCTCTCCAGTCTGGTGAGACCCACCTGGAGTGCTGCATCCAGCTCTGGGGCCCCATCACAGGAAGGACATCAGTCAGTTGGAGCAAGCCCAAGGGAGGCCACTACAGTGGTAGAGAGTTGGAGCACCTCTCCACTGGGGAAAGCCTGGTAGAATTGGGATTGTTCAGCCTGGAATAGAGAAGGCTTTGGGGTGACCTCATTGTGGCCTCCCAGTACCTGGTAGGAACCTACAGGAAGGATGGAGAGAATCCATTTACAAGAGCATGTAGTGACAGGACAAGGGGCAATGGCTTTAGATTGAAAGTGTGTAGCTTTGGATCAGGCATCTGGAAGAAATTTCATTACTCTGAGGGTGGTGAGGCAGTGAAACAATTTGCCCAGAGAACTTGTGGAT